TTTCTAATAAATATCAATTAGGATTTCCGCCACCGTTGGTTGTTGTTTTGCCTTTGTCACATGACTTCATATGTTTTATTGGCATCCCGACTCCGTGTGAACGCCCCAAGCAACACTCTTTCCGGCACCACTTGCAAGTTGCCCACCACAGTCCGGTCTTCGGGTCCTTCCACTTATCAAAATTGTTTTGCATAACAGAAGAATTACTTTCCATCTTTAAAATGGTAGATGTATAAGTAGAAATGTAGGATAATAAGAGAAGATGAAGATGGAGAAGAGTTGGATAAGAGGTGTAGAAAATGGTAGAAAATAGATGTATTTATAGATTTTTTTGAACCCCACCCCCACACCACCACCCCCGGGACCCCCCTGCCCCCCACCCTAAGCCCCAACGGCTATATAGCCGTTTGGGAGCAATTTTGTATTTCAAAATGTTTTCGATTTTTTTTTTTTTTTGAAAATTATACATATTGTAAAATAAGTTAATTAATTTAATGAATTAAGTAAAACTATTTTTACTTAGAAAAGTGATTTGATTTATAATTTACAAATGTTGCAAAATAGGTGTATAAGTATTTAAACAAATTACATATTGAAGTTGTAACTTGTAAGTTTGTAACCAATTAATTAATTTACATATTAATATTACATATTTTAACTTAAAAACAGCCTTTAGATTTTACAAAAATAATTTCAAAGTTGTAAGTTATAAGTTTGTAACCAATTAATTAATTTGAGAAGTGCTACATATGAAAAATAAATGCATATTTATTTGAAATATGAAGTACAAGTTTACAAATTAATTTTATTGAATTGATTATTGAATAATTTTTTTTTTGAGAATTATTGAATTGATGTACACAATAATATAAAATAATTCAAGTATATTTATTTCAAATAAGAAGTACAATTGAGAATTAGGATGCATTTAAAAAATGTAATAAATTTTGTAATAAAAAATCAATCGGAATCTCCGCCTTCGGTGGTTGTTTCCTCCATAAAGTAGCGGGTGGGAGCGATGGTCATTTCTTGAGTTCTTCGTTGGACCTTCAACCAATCATGGAAGCAAACTAGCGTCTCAAGAGAGCTCGGGCTCAACCTCGTTCTATAATCGGTTAGGACGTTGCCGGCCGCACTAAATTCTTGTTCCACGGCAACTGTTGATATCGGCATTGCTAGCACTTGCTTAGCCATCTTTGATAAAACCGGGAACGTTCTTTCATTTTCCTTCCACCACTTAAGAACGTCAAAGTCATCACCAACTTCATAATCAACATTCAATGTTAGATACAAAGAAAGCTCGTTAACTCAGCTTTGTTCAGTAGCAGGAGTTGCTCTACTTTTTTTCATAAGAGAACCAAATGCAGATTTTAAAAGTGATTTTCCTTTAGATGAAGAAGATGTTCGCGGCATGGAAGGGGGTGCATTACCATACTTTGCATGAAATACATTATACAATTGATGAAATAAATTACTAACCTCGTTGTATTCTTGTTTAGGGTCGATGGGATTATCATCGAACTCTTGAGTTGGAAAAAAAAGCATAATAGTAATCTATACAACTTGGCAACGAGGCAAGTTTATAACGAGGATCAAGAACAAATGCAATACCATATATATGCGGAACATGTGAATAATATTTTAAAAACTTTTGTTTCATGAAATCACAAAAATAACTAACGTAAGCGGCATCGGAAAATTCTAAAAAAGCGCCGGCGAGATTAACAGCTTCAACAAAAAAAATAGTTTGTGGTAGGTTTATAAACATGACTAAAAGTTTGAGTTGCGTTATTAAAATATACCAAAACATTAACAATTTTTTCACAAGTGTCGATGTCAGCCGGGTTTATAATATAGTTACAAGTTTTTCTTAAAAAAGCAGGAAAATGATCTTTATATCTAGTAAGTACTTGAATTAAGTTATAAGTACTATTCCAACGAATAGACAAATCTTTAGGAAAAGCACAATAATTGACACGTATTTCCTTCAAATATTGCCGTCATTGCATTTTTAGTGGAGTGTTAGCCCAAATCAATTTAATTCCCCCCTTCACTACCTCCAAAGCATTTCCTAATGCCGCTAATCCATCTTGTACACACAAATTTAGAATATGACATGCACAACGTTGATGAAAAACCTACCCATCAATGTAGAAGCACCACACAATTCACGCAATCTAGGTATAGCAACAGTATTATTACTAGCATTATCAAAACCTACAGCAAACACCTTATCAAGCAAATTATACTCAATTAAAATACGCTCAATGAGAATATAAATATCATCAGCAGTATGACGATCATTGAATTCACGAAAAGCAAGAACACGTTTATGCATATTCCAATCATCATCAATATAATGTGCAGTAAGACCAAATGATATAAATGATGATAAGTATCCTCCCATATATCGCTACAAATACTAACACGTCCATTAAAGTTTGCGAAAAATGTTTGTAATTTTTCTTTTTCGAAGTTATATTGCCTTATAACTTCTTTTTTAATCGTTTTGCGACTATAATTTCTAAATTGAGGATTTAAAATACCTTGAGCATAATCTCTTAAAGCAAGACTTTCGGAAAAAATATAGGGTAAATTTTCTTCAACAATTAAATGAGACATACCAGTCAAATGTTTTTTATCATCATAGAAGAAATTACCAAAGGGTTGAAAATTTGCAAACCTCGATATTTGTGTTTGCTTCCCCTTGCCCTTGTCTATTTTCTCATACTCCACAAAATGGGCTGACTTAAGATGCCTTGTGAGACTCTCGTATCCGCCAGAAGTTCCAAAGCTATACTCTTTGCCGCAATGATTGCAACTTGCGTACCATTTTTCGGTATTTTTGTCTTTCCTTTTTGTAAAATTGTTTTCAATAATAGGAGATTTAGATTTCTTACCAGTTTGGGTTGAACCGCCCTCTTCCTCCAACTCTTGCTCATCATCCGGGGTGCCGTGAGTCCCGTCGCCCCCCGCGTCCTCCTCCGCATCGTCATCCTCGAGCTCCTCTTGATCAATGGTTGTCGGGATGTGTTGTTCTTGTGCAAAGCGTGGATCATTTTGGGACAATAGGTTTTGTAGATGCTCGTCGGACATCATCATATCATCTCTCCGTTGGTAATCCGTTTCAAAGTCATCTCGACTTTAAAAAGAAGACTCAGCCCGCGCTTTACCTTTGCCTTTGCGTGAAGTAGGACGAGTCGACGCAATCTCCCTCTTGCGGTTGCGTTGGAGATTACCCACATCTACAGAATGTCTACCACGCTCCATCTTTAAAATTGAACAAATATTAAATGATATCAAATATTATATATGAGTACAATAGTAATAATAATGTAACAATTAACTAATATTAATATGAGAAATGTAACAATTAAGTAGTTTAACTAATATTAATATGACAAAATGTAAAAATTAACTAGTTTTTTTTTTACTTTAATGAGCAATGTAGCAATTAACTAATATTAATATGACAAATGTAACAATTAAGTAGTTAACTAATATTAATATGACAAATGTAAAAATTAACTAGTTTTTTTTACTTTAATGAGCAATGTAACAATTAAGTAGTTTAACTAGTTTTCAAAATGACAAATGTAGAAATTAACTACTTTTTTTTACTTTAATGAGCAATGTAGCAATTAACTAATATTAATATGACAAATGTAACAATTAACTACTTTAACTAATATTAATATGACAAATGTAAAAATTTAATACTTTTTTTATTTAATGAGAAATGTAGCAATTAAATAAGTAACTAGTTTAACTAATGTTAAATGATAAATGATATGTAACAAGTAACTATTTTTTTTTCTTTAAAGAGAAATGTAGAGAAATGTAACAATTAACTAATTTAATAGATAAATGAGAAGTCTAACCATTAACTGCTTTTATAAAATGTGTATAAGTCTATATAGTTTATATAACTTGTAAATGTATTATAAGTAATATATAATATAATGTTTATAGTATATAATATATAAGTATATTACTATAAGATGAGTAATGCACTTATACTTAATACTTTAATATATATATATATAAGTATATATTAACTAAATGTAATATGTAAATATAAGTAAATAACAACAGTATGGATAAAAACTAAATATCAAATAAATATGAATGTGTATAAGTATATATAGTATATATAATGTGTAAATATATTAAGTAATATATAATATAATGTTTATAGTATATAATATATAAGTATATTACTATAAGATGAGTAATACACTTATACTTAATACTTTAATATATATATATATATATATATATATATATATATAAACTAAATGTAATATGTAAATATAAGTAAATAACAATAGTATGGATAATAACTATATATCAAGTAAATATGAATGTGTATAAATATATATAGTATATATAATGTGTAAAGAATTATAATATGAATGTGTATAAGTATATATTTATAAGTAGATAATTAATATATAGGTAGAATAGTAGATATAATAATTATATAAATTATATATATGTAGAAAGAATTTGGAGAAGATGAAGAATGAAGATGATTGAATATAAGAGATTGAGAGAATAGAGAATTAGAGAGTAGGAAGAGTTGTAGAAGAAGAGGTGTAAAAAATGTATAGAAAATAGGAGTATAAATAGGTTTTTTTGTATACCCCACCCCCACCCCCCCAGACCCCCCCCCCCTCCTATGCTCCCAACGGCTATAGAGCCGTTTGGGAGCTCTCCCAACGGCTAGAGAGCCTTTAACCATTTTTTGTAAAAAAAAAAAATTAAAATATGACCGCTGAGGCCCGGACCGAGCCCGGCCCGGCCTCGCCGGTTCACTAAATATCAGGCCCGGGCCCGGACCGCTATCCCACCGGGCCGGGTGGCCCGAACCGGGCACTAACCGGTTCACCGGGCCGGTCCGGGCCCGCACAGTAGCGGGCCGGGCCGGTTCCAGGCCGGTTGGCCCGGCCCGAGTGGATCCCTACTCCGTAAGAATATCTAAGTAACCGCCACCGAAATTGAGAAACAAAATTGAAAAGTCTAGGGTTAAATCATGTTCTACTCTTGGGCTTGTATTCATTTGTCATAAGAAAATGAAAGGAATACAAAGGGAACAAAAAGGCAAGACCGAGAGATGAAAGAGAATGGAAAATGTTACAGCATTTGCATATGTTTCTCCTATGGTGACCAGACGAGATAATGTACATATACACCTCCTACCAGTAAAAGTGTTAGTGTTATAGGCCAGTAAAACCAGAGACGCTCTTGAGCGCTTCCTCTTCCATTTCGATGAGCTGATCACAGAACTTTTGAACATCAGACACCTCTTCCTTGAGTGTGATTCTGAACTCTTTCCACTGGTATTCGCGGGACCCATCACTCTGCACTGCCCCAAGAACCTTCCCCAGCACATCAAACCCTTTCCGGTCTACCGAAAGCAGAAAAGCATCCTTCACAAACAGCAACAGAAACACAGATTATATATCACATCATGTATGAAATTACCTCATTGAGCATTCCACAGATGATGTTTTTGAATAAAACGATGTGTTACTACCTTCGCCCCAAATGTTCACCTTTTCAATTTTGTATGCTCGTTTAAGTGTTATAAATCTTCTTTATATGCTCGTTTAACTAAATTCATCATATGTAACATGAGATTTTTCTATCATCTTCTGGCAAGTTGCATCAAGGAATAGTTTATTGGATCAAACTGGACTCTTTTTGGAGAAAAATAGAACTTCAATACACCCATTGTATTTGCTTCTGCCGAGGGCTGGGCAAGTAAATTTTTGGGGGATGGAGGGAGTAATATTAGAGGTAAGTTGCCTTTTTGGTCTCTCAATAATGCAGATTTAGCAACTTTGGTCCCTTCTCTGTTAACTTTTGCAAAAACAATATCTGGTGGTACGGTGGTACCCTTGGGTGATGGTGACTAAAATTGTTTGATATAAGAAACTAAGGGTGAACATTTCAGGTTCATTTTTTCAGATTTCGGCTTAAAATGGGTAAGAGGAATGATATGCCAAATTAAAACCACACTATGTTTGGTTTGGATTTGTTATTTTTGAAGATATTAAAGTATATTAAGGTTTTATTATCGTTTTATTCAGTATGGTTTTATTCGGGTTCAGTTTGGTTAATATTGCCAAACTAACACCAAATTGCATGTTTCGGTTCAATTCAGTTTGGTTGCATAACCAAAATGCCCACTCCTAATTGAAATCATCAAAGGATCACATAAGGGCTATTTTTCCGAAAGTTAACAACTAGGATGACTAGAATCATTAAAGATGCACAATTGAGTCATTACCATCATTACCCCTACCCCAGTGCTGCAAAGGCTCCTACCTACGGTGGGGTAAGGGGGGATCGGATGTACGCAGTCTTACCCCTGTACTAAAGCACAGAGAGGTTGTTTCCGGATGACCCATAGTGAAAATGGCGTCAAAAATTGAATTGACCGACTGTTGCTTCATAACAAAGAAGCGCAAACAGTTTAGTGAGCCATGTTGCTTTATTCCATCATATTCCCTAGCCAAAAAATAGTGAGCCTTTGACTCCATTGAAAATAATGGAAAAGATGCACAATTGAGTGGCTAGAAAAAAATATTTGTCAATATTTCCATCCTATAGTCCTGCACATTCATTCATTGCTTTGTAGGAATCAATTTAGTCATACAAGGAATACAAGACATAGCATGCAGTTAAGGAAATCTCTGAAAAAATAAATGTTTGGGGGATTAGAATATAAATCATTTGAATAATTACCTTGACATTCTCATTCATGTGTGTGATACAGAAGAGGATTAAAGCTCTACGCCTAATCTCGCTTCGATTAATTCCATCAATCAGGCTTGTACCGAAAGGAGCTGCAAGAAAACGAAATTATTACCTTATGAGTCTTAGAAATTGTTTTATGTATAAACACTATAGGAGCTTACATAAAGGGTCTGTCTTTGATTCTTCAATATCTCTTAGAGCCACTTCATGGCTAGCTCCTTTGCTGTCAATATACGCACAAGAACTGCAGACCACATAAGCTTGTGTGTTAGATCAAATCTACCCAAAATTGTAATTAGGATGTCCAGATTTTACTTGCAGGGATACAATAGGGTTCTGTTTGGAACAAAGAAAATACTTCCTCTATTCTTATTTAGTTGAAACAGATGGACTTTCACATTTGACTAAAAATGACTTTGACCATTAATATATCTAATTGTGTATTAGTAGAAATAATAAAAACAATAATGTGAAATTTATATTATGATAAATTTAATAATGTTTTTCACAGTATACCTTGTTAATACATTTGAAAAATAAAAATAATCAAAGCAGGGTATATGAGTAGAAGAAAAAGTCAAATTGTTGCAACTAATAAAGAGCGGATGTAGTATTAGGGAACAATAATAGAGATGCAAATGGATCGAAAATTCAGAACCAAAGAAAAATTCAACTTGGTCCAATCTCAAAAAATCTTTTCTAGATATTTGTCCTGTTATATATATATATATATATATATAGACACACACACACATATATTACAATAATGTAAAAACTAAGAATTCAAAATGTGTACGTGGAAAGTTCTCCCAAAAAAATATTAATCAAATTGATTTTTTTTTTGTATTTTCGAAGGTAAAACAGAACAACATTAAACTATGTTCCTCAGAAATTTTTTTATTTCCCTACCATTTCCGGCATTCCAAACATAGCCTAAGAAGTAAAGGAAGTCTAATGGAACTATGAAATATTATTTTCTTGCGCATTATAGCCAAAAAAATTCATAGAATATGTGTGTGATATCACAAGGCTGAACTGAATATTTGATACCTTATCTTAAACTTATACACAGTATATTTGGTATTCTCGTCAAGTAACTCCTGGAGGTTTTCGCTTCGAGATGTATAACTGAGACTTGATGAACTCAATATAGCAGAAACTGAATAACTTAAATCTTTTACTGTTTTACACTCGGATAACATGATCTCCCTAAGGGTATTTTCAGCCAATGCAGCCTGTGGAAACGAAGAGTCATGTTAATAAAAATTTACCTCTTCCAATAGCAAGGTAAATAGTCCGTAGTTCCACGAAGACATGCTTAAAACGATCTACTCCCTCCATTCCAAATTAAAGGAATCCTTGTTAAAAAATTAATGGTGTCCCAAAAAAAGAGCCCCGTTTGCTTTTGAAAAAGCTAATCTTTAATGTTTTTGCTATAATAATTTTATACAAAAATGTCTGCCACAAGTTAAATATTTTAAATTTAGTTTAAACAACAAATACAACTACAAATATAGCAAGAACTGGTTATTTCTAATAGTTGTAGCTAAAACATAAAAGTTGTACTGTGGTGAAACATGACAATTCTTTGGGGAAGGAGGTAGTACATGAATACAACAAAGGTTAACCTATCATTAGCAATAACATTCGCACATGGGGTTATACATGATTAAAAAGAGACAGACATGAATAAAGTGCTTCTAAATGATTAGTTGCTGGAAAACGGAAAAAGTTTAAAGAATTAAAGCAGTAGTGCGTATTACATAGTGGATTGATGTGTTAGCTAATTGATAAGTGAGAATGGGAGACATTATGTACAACCTTTTTATCTGTAAGAGGCACTATGTCACCCATTAGAGCAACCCGTGTTGGCAGCTGCATATGTGACAAACACAAGTCTTTCTTAGTATATAACAATATTTTTCACCCAAAATGGCACACCCGTGCATTATAGATCAGGAAATAACCCAACACAAACTTATTAGAATCAGATTGTAAAGGAAAGATACCATTTTTATGGACATAAGCAGATTTCCTAGTTGGCCGGGGAATGGAGCCGTCACTGCCAAGGAACCGCGTTCATCAATTATTGCATTCTGCAAAGAAAAAAAACTCAACTTCCTCAGGCATGGGAGAAAGTGTTACAAAGTTAATTGAATTACAATTACTATTATGTGTATCACAAATTTTAATTGGCACTTTCCACATGCCATTTTTAGTAGTCTTATCCCTAGTTAGCACTGTTTAGTCTCGGAATATTCATTACACTTTAAACAAAGCAGCAAGTGGAATAAGATACATATCTCCTTTGTGCATGATGGATTGATGGATAACAAGAATTGTAGAAAACAGAAATGATGAAAACAATCAAGACTATAAACAACAGAAATGGAAATTGTTGTGTAAAAGGAAATTAAACTAGAGCTCATTATGAAGACATCAATCAGCTAATCCTGTGTCATGGGAACTATAATTTTGAGAATCCGAAGATGAGTAATCACACTGATCCGTTCAGACATTGTTATCACAAAAACATATATTCAACCTAATCAGGTCCACAATGGATAGCTATGCACTTTAGGAGCCAAAAGAGATATGTTTACTTTCAGAAATAAATTTCTCATCAGAACCTAGAAAAAGCCAAATGAAGCAAGCTTTCAAAGAGAGAAATCTCAAGTGTCAAAACCGTGAGACCTTGATATTAACCATGGGCAGCCTATATCATTTAGTAGCAGCAGCATATAGATTAATGCACTTTTTCTCCTCAAAATCAAATTCATACACAGGCAATTTTTAAAGATATGACATTTTTGGTAGTCAGATACATCATAATGGCAAGGCCTACATGTTATGTACTGAACACCTTCAAACTGCCAAACTAAGGCTGTGCCTCCATGGCATGTATACAAAGCTAAAATAAACCTAACATTAGAGTTCACACTAAACAGTTGTTAGACCCGTTGGGTTGCACAGAAATGTCTTAAAGTCTCGGCGGGGGGTGACCTGTCTGTTTTTCGTTTTTGATTGAAATCCTAATCCTTTGAAGGATAGAGTGAATAATTAGTTTAAGACAAATGCCTTAAGCTAATCTACCGTGTAGTGCATAAATGCTAGTTTTAAGATTTGATATGTAATCACGTGATCAATTCGCAATTGATACGGGCAAGATGAACAAAGCAGTGTAAAATGAATGCACAAGCACAATTAACATGGTCTTAAGGTGGGTTTTTTTTGTCTTAAAGTGGGTTAAACCTTCTAAATCCACAAAACTTCATGTAGTACTTGGAGTGTGTCATTCAACAATGGAAGTGTGCAGCATCCTTTGCAAGCTAATAAGGCTGCTACTTCACTTGGAATCCCATTGCTGTTGGCAATTTCTTCAAAGTATTCCAACTTTTTTGAGTTTCTTCAATACTCGCAATGCTCCTTAAGAAATGCCAAATTCAAATCAATTCCTTTAACACCGTCTTTCTGCAATTTTGGCAACTCCTTACAAAGTTTTCACTTCTTGCAATGCCGCCTCGCAAATCTCATAACCCATTCGACCAACATGTAAACGGAGTTGATTAATAATCACTCATATTACATATGCTGGTTGAAGTCCCCTGTTTCTAAGTAGGAATTCGTTGCTTGCTGAGTTTGGACACCTTTGAGATAATATTGCTTGGGAAATAATGTTACGGAGTATTATTTTGGACATATGTTTCTAAAATAAAAGCTACATATGATCTTCGGGATCTAAAATTCTAATATCCTATTGATATGAGGTGGAAAAGCAAACCTTAAGGCTGAATTTAGCAGTATGAGGGAATACCTATTTATAGTATAAGGAGTACAAGGAAGTTCATGTTTGTTAACGTACATGCATGGTGCATGGTACGCATGCATGGCACATGCATGCTCTCCGTATTATTCCGGCTGACTCGCACACATAACATATCTCATCCGTATTTGTTGTACTTACTAGTTGTATATTCAAATCATTTTAAATTATTGTTGTATCTTATCCGATTACATAGGCCACATGTTAGGCGATAGGCTTGAGCTCCTTAAGCTAATTAGTTACGTAGCTTTATCGGTACAATTCAAATTGTATAGCATCGTGTATTTAAACACCGTCAAGGGAAATAATACACTCACGTTGAAATTCCAATTTGGTATCAGACGCAAGATCTTTTCTTCCTCCTCCCATGGCTTCCGCCAAATCTCCTTCCTTTCATCCCGCTCTCGCTCTCACAAATATAAAAAGTTTTATTCCTATTACACTCGATCTCGAGAACGTGGAATACTCATCATGGACCGAACTTTTTAAGATCACAACCCGTGCCTACCAGGTTGAAGATCACATCTTCCCAGTTGAAACAACTACCTCGGCTGCCTCCACTTCCACCACACCACCCCCAGAACTCACCCCGGAGCAAGTTCTTGCCGCCGCCGCCGCCAAAGCTGAATCTGATGCACTATGGAAACGACTCGATGCCATGGTGTTACAATGGATTTATGGGACTATTTCCCATGATCTTTTGCACACCATTCTCGAGCCGGACTCTACAGCCAAAGCAGCATGGGATCGTCTGGCCGATCTTTTTCTTGACAACAAAAACTCTCGGGCACTTCATCTCGAGACGGAATTCTCCAATACCCGGTTAGAGAGTTTTCCGGATATTGCCTCGTATTGCCAGGCTCTCAAGACCCTAGCCACCAAATTGTCTAACGTTGGTTCTCCCGTTAACAATCAACGCTTGGTGTTACGTATCGTGAATGGTCTCCCTCCGGCCTATGACTCGGTTGCTTCGATCATTCAACAAACCGTCCCTCTTCCTCCCTATTCACAGGCCCGTTCCATGCTCCTTCTTGAAGAGACTAGGAAGGCTCAACAACACACCTCATCTCCTACTGCCTTGGTCCATACCGGCACTCCGGCTCCTGTGCAACGACCAGAGGTTCAGCCTGGCCGTGCTCCACACCGCGGAAGGGGACGTGGGTCTTCACGTGGTGGTCGCAACCGTTCCTCCGGCACTTCTTCGGCAACCCCAACTGCCAGCCCGTGGCAGATGCCGCCGTGGGGTTACTGGCCGCCCCCATGGAGCATCCCACCATGCCCCTATCCCTCTACTCCATGGTCCGGACACCAAAGCTCGAAGCCTCCCTCTCCTGCGGCCGGCATACTTGGTCCACGGCCTCAACAAGCACACATTGCCACCCCGTCTCCTACCGACATCAACTCGGCCATGGCTACCATGTCGCTCACTCCTCCAGATGACAACTGGTATCTTGACACGGGGGCCACATCTCACATGACATCACAGGGAGGTACTTTTACGTCTCATTTTAATAATAGTACTAAAAACCGTATTATGGTGGGCAATGGTCAATCCATACCTATTATGGGTTACGGCAACTCTTTTCTTTCCCCTCCCAACCCACCCCTTCTCCTAAAAAATATTCTTCATGCTCCTCAATTAGTCAAAAATTTAATTTCCGTTCGCCGTCTTACCACTGATAACAATGTTTCAATTGAGTTTGACCCACTTGGTTTTTCTGTGAAGGAACTCCACACGGGAATGCCTCTTATGAGATGTGATAGTTCGGGAGATCTTTACCCTTTCAATCCGGTCCGTGTCAAGTCTTCCTCACCCGCTGCACTCATTGCCACCTCGGCTGAGACATGGCACCACCGCCTTGGCCACCCCGGCAACCCAGTTTTTCAGTTTCTTAGTTCCAATAAAATTATCCCTTGTAATAAACTCTGTAGTTTAGACTGTATGGCTTGTCAAATGGGTAAACATCATAAACTCCCATTTAGTTCTTCTTTATCTCAAACGCATTCCCCGTTTGACATTATTCATAGTGATGTTTGGACTTCTCCTGTTTTAAGTTCAAATGCTCACCGCTACTACGTGTTATTTTTGGATGATTTTTCCAAATTTCTTTGGGTTTTTTCGTTACAACATAAGTCCCAAGTGTATGACACCTTTGTCAAATTCTACCACTATATTCACACGCAATTTAGTCAAAAAATAAAAACTCTACAATGTGATAATGGTAAAGAATTTGACAATTCCTCCTTTACCTCTTTTGCTACACAAAATGGCTTGCATTTCCGTTTTTCCTGTCCCTATACATCTCCTCAAAACGGGAAAGCGGAACGCACCATCCGTACTATCAATAATACGGCTCGTACCCTACTCTTACAAGCATCTCTTCCGCCCAAATTCTGGCCTCACGCCGTCCAAATGGCCACCTATATACACAATATTCTTCCTACACCAACCCTCTCAAATCTATCCCCTACACATATCTTATACCACAAAACACCAACTTACGAACATCTACGAGCTTTCGGTTGCTTGTGTTTCCCAAATCAACCCCCTTCTACCATTCATAAGTTAGATGCTCGATCCTATCCTTGCATCTTTCTTGGATTTCCTACACATCATAAAGGGTATATTTGCCTTAACCCACAAACGGGTAAACTCATTTTATCCCGTCATGTTACGTTCAATGAACACTACTTTCCCTACAAATATCTAGCCGACAAACCGTCCCCACCACATACTAATAATTTCCAAAACCATCATCCCATACCTCCATTTAACTTATCCCATCTCGGGAACAATCCCAATACTCAGCCCCCACACCATGAGTCTCCAGCTACTCCACCTTCACCTTCTTGTCACCGTTTTATTCCCTCTCCAGGCCCCACACCACCGAATAACTCCCCACCTAGCTCCCCACCCAGTTCATCATCACGCACGTCACCACCTCCCATACTTCCTACCCACCCCATGCTCACACGTAGCAAGGTTGGAATCTTCAAACCCAAAATTCCTCTATCCCTCTTATCCCAGACGTCAAACAACCCGTCACCTATACCCAAATCCCCAATTCTTGCGCTACGTGACCCGAACTGGATGTCCGCCATGCAAGACGAATTTGGTGCTCTTATTAAAAATAGGACGTGGGAGTTGGTTCCCCGCCCCCCTAACGTCAATATTATCCGTTGCCTTTGGCTTTTTAAACACAAATATAGGTCTGATGGAGCACTGGAACGTCACAAAGCCCGTCTCGTGGTTAACGGCAAATCTCAACAACTCGGCATTGACTGTGAAGAAACATTCAGTCCGGTCGTAAAACCGGCCACTATCCGCACGGTCTTGTCAATTGCACTACACCACTCATGGCCCCTTCATCAACTTGACGTCAAAAATGCCTTCCTCCACGGTCACCTCGAAGAAACCGTATACATGCATCAACCTCCCGGTTTCCGTGACCCCTCCAAACCTCACCATGTATGTCGTCTTCTCAAGTCACTGTACGGCCTCAAACAGGCACCCCGGGCATGGTATCATCGATTCTCATCATTTCTATCTACCATTGGTTTCGGCCACAGTATATGTGATCCATCACTGTTTACTTATCATCACAACAATGAAACTGCGTACTTGCTCTTATATGTCGACGACATCATCCTCACCACTTCATCAGATGACCTTCGGATCTCTATTATTAAAACTTTAGCTACTGAGTTTGCCATGACGGACCTCGGTCCACTCAGCTATTTTTTGGGCATAGCAGTCACACGTCACCCTCATGGTATTTTCCTAAATCAACAAAAATATGCTAGTGAAATCCTCTCCCGGGCACAACTTTCTGATTGCAATCCCGTAGCCACTCCAGTCGACACAAACTCCAAGCTTAGTGCTACTGCCGGCCCTCCGGTTGACGACCCAACTCTATACCGTAGTCTTGCCGGAGCACTACAATATCTCACCTTTACTCGCCCGGATATATCCTATGCCGTTCAGCAAGTATGTCTCTTCATGCATGACCCACGAGCTCCTCATCTACATGCACTCAAGCGGATTCTTCGCTATATTAAAGGTACCCTCCATTTCGGTCTACATCTACGGCCGTCCTCCATCTCTAGCTTGATCTCTTACTCCGACGCTGATTGGGGTGGCTGCCCAGACACACGACGTTCTACCTCTGGCTATTGTGTCTATCTTGGTGACAACCTTCTCTCATGGTCCTCCAAACGGCAACCAACTCTCTCCCGCTCAAGTGCCGAAGCTGAATATCGGGGTGTCGCCAATGTAGTTGCGGAGACTTGTTGGTTGAGAAACCTTCTTTTAGAACTTCACTGTCCACTACCCAAAGCTACTCTGGTTTATTGTGACAACATCAGTTCCGTCTACATGTCTGGCAATCCTGTTCAACACCATCGCACCAAACATATCGAAATGGATATACATTTCGTTCGGGAAAAAGTTGCTCGCGGAGAAGTACGTGTTCTTCATGTTCCGTCCCGTCACCAATTTGCCGACATTTTCACAAAAGGGCTCCCTCGTATCTTATTTGATGAATTCCGGTCCAGTCTCAGCATTCGGCCACCTCCCGCTTTGACTGCGGGGGGGTGTTAACGTACATGCATGGTGCATGGTACGCATGCATGGCACATGCATGCTCTCCGTATTATTCCGGCTGACTCGCACACATAACATATCTCATCCGTATTTGTTGTACTTACTAGTTGTATATTCAAATCATTTTAAATTATTGTTGTATCTTATCCGATTACATAGGCCACATGTTAGGCGATAGGCTTGAGCTCCTTAAGCTAATTAGTTACGTAGCTTTATCGGTACAATTCAAATTGTATAGCATCGTGTATTTAAACACCGTCAAGGGAAATAATACACTCACGTTGAAATTCCAATTATGTTAATTTCTCCTCTAATCCTATATCATTTAGGAAGAAACTCCATAGCAAAATGGAAGTCTCTTTTCCGTTATACAGTCTTATACAAGCTGAAGTTTTATCAAAGACAGCCTCTGGAAGCACGATGAAGACGAAGACATGCACGGTCTTAAGGTGAAACAAAAAAACAGCCCAAGATTGCTTCAAATGCTTCACCAAGGACATAAAAACAAATACTCTATCCACTTCTAAGAGGAAAACGCTTTGTAAATTCTTATGTTCTAGTTTACCACTTCCAGGACGGCATCTATTATTGTTTTCCAGTTTTGTGCTTTTATACTCAATTACTACGCACAACTATGGTAGTAACAATGCAACATCCACCTTCTGATGCTCTCAACAAGTCATCATCATCATTCATCATCGTCATTACCCCACTGCCGCAAGGGCTCCCACACCTTCGGTGGGGTAAGGGGTTCGGATGTACGCAGTTTTATCCCTGTACTAAAGCACAGAGAAACTGTTTCCGGATGCCCAATAGTGAAAATCGCGTTGAAAATTGCATGGACTGACTGCTGCTTCATCACAAAGAAGCGCAGACAGTTGAGTAAGCCATTTTGCTTTATTCCATCATATTCTCAACAAGTATTTAATGAAAGTTTAATAAGAACATTCAATATACATATACAATTCTCCATATTTTTTAAACAATTCCTTTATCTGTGATAAAGAATCCAAAATGACATTCTTTCATGAATGTAGAGAACAACTGTGTATATCCTCAAGTAAATATAATCAGTCAATATAATGAAGTTCGAAAAGACTATACCACATTATGCAAGTCCTTCTCAGGTATCCATATGTATGGCTTTCCTCTATTGACGAAGTACTTAACTTTCGAACTGTGCACGTCCTGTTTACTGAGTACATGTAAATACAGAAAGAACGGAACAAAATGCATCCAGCTCAGACTTTTCATAGAAAAGAAAAAGAAATAACAACATGAACATCATTTAAACTTCGTATACACTCTAAATTACCTTCCTTTAGCATCAGCTTTAATGGTATTAAGGTAGCCTTGCCAATTTGATGCCAATATTTTCTGCAAAATATAAAAAGTTAAAGCTGAAATTCTCATTATAAATGAAAACAGTAGTCAAAAGATAAGTAAACAATGGTGATGTGTTCACCTTGCTTTTTTCAGCTATAGTCAGAAGAAAAGATTTGGGTGCTTTCCCCATGTGTTGCAAAGCAGGCGTTTGTTGAAATGGTGCGCTTAGCGGAGGAGAAAGGGCACAACACCGGCGGAAATATGAAATCCGAGAGGCTGCAACTCCGGAAGTGAACAAGGTCAGTCCGTCCTACAGAAGGGCAGAATCTTGGATCGGGGTTTCTGGAATTATTATAGCAAAAATGCTAAAAGTATCCCAATTTGTACCACAATTTGTATCATCTTATTTTTGTGTCTCACAAAAGCAGTTCATTAAAGTATAGCTATTGAAGTGGGCTTTTGTGAGCCACAAATATAGGCTGGGTGCCAATTGAGGTACCTATTAGGGGTGGGCAAAAATCCCGGTCCCGGTGTCCCAAATCGAAAAATCCTGATACCGTTCCGAAACTATCCCGATCCATTTAGGACGCAATTTTTTTATCCCAAACCGGTCCCGCACCGATATTAACCGGGACGGGACCGGGATAGTTATAAAATATCATGTCACGTCCCGGTGTCCCGTTTGAAATTAATATGTTATTTTAAATTTCTAATGCTATGTAATAGTCGAGCCCAATTAAAAGATTCTAGTTCTTAGTCTCCCTAGTGTAATTTTATCTGATTTCATGTCTCTCTTAATCTCATTTCTTTTGTTTCTTTTGATTAAAATTTGTTTAGTTCTCATTCCAATACTAATACATAATATATTATTACGTGTAGAATACTATTTATGATGGAATAACTACTACTCCAAATTATAGTGTTGTTATAGATTTAATATTTTCCAAAATAACTACTATAAAATATATATAGTGTATTTATAGATATGATATTTAATTTAATGTGGTATTGAAAAATTACAAGTGTACTACAAAGTATAAAAATATTTTGCGCTACTATTCTACTAGAGGAAACACAAGATTAGGGGAAACAAAAAAATTTACAAGACAAAAATTAAAAATAGTTAATTAAAGGTTTTACTTAACTTTTTAGGGAAACAAAATTTGCATAAATAGTTACGTCTTTATTTTGATGTTATGCTTATTTTTATATCACATTTCACAAATACATATTTTATGGGACATCCCGAACCGTCCCGGTTTTTCTCGGGTTGTCCTGGTTCCGTTTTAAATGGGACAACATTGGGATAAAGACTTATCCCGTACCGTACCGGACTGTTGTTATAAAACCGGGACGGGATCGGGATAAGCCAAATCCCGGACCGTCCCGGACCGTGCCCACCCCTATAGCAGATGGTTATTATGGTTTTTAGGTTTTGCACTTCCATACGGGTTTTCAACTCCAGGGTTCGGGTTATCGGGCAGTAACAAATGGGTTAAAAATAAATGCGCCTCTTCTGGGCACACCATCAAATGTGTTAGGATGAAAAATTGGGTACATGTAGGGAGCTCCTATACTATACACCCGAATGTAGGTACATGCGGTCTAATTAAAGAAAGAGTCAAATTAAATTATCAAGCCTATAAGAAAAGGCTCAATGTTGTCTCACCGCTTAAAAAAGACAGACCTCGTTTTCTTCCTTATGAACATCAAAATTAATCGAATTTGGCTTTGAGGAGTCCGAAATCGTGCTCAACTTGCTTGGATTTCCACCTCGCCCTTTTGTTCTGAAACCATATCGCCACTTGATGTGGTTGCAGCCCCAAATCTCTGGCAACTTGGAGCTTCTTCATCTCCAGCTTTGTTTCCAGCTTGAAATGGTGTCCAACGATTTCACTTGCTCATTGTTGAACCTCTTACAACTAGGGATGGACTGGGCCGGGCCGAACCGGCCCGGAACCGGACCGGCCCGCTACTGTGCGGGCCCGAACCGGACCGGGCCCGGTTGGCCGGTTCCGGGCTTTTAGCCCGTTTTGGCGGGTCGGGCGGGCCGGTTCCGGGCCCTGTTTTTGTTGAACCGGCCCGGGCGGTTCGGGGCGGGCCCGGTTCATTTTTTTTTTTTTTTTTGGTTTTTTCAATTTTTTTTCTTTTCCTAGGGTAGGGCTGGGTGTTTTAGGGAGGTTTGGGGCGTGGGGGTGAGGGGGGGGGGGGGTAGGGAGATAACAAGAAAGTCAAAAAAAAAAAAAAAAAAAAACATTGAACCGGGCCCGGCCCGGCCCGGCCCGGTTAGGCCCGGACCCGGTATCAACCCGGGCCGGTTCCGGGCCCATGTAACCCGAAAAAAAGCCCGCCCGGGCCCGGCCCGGAACCGGAACCGGCCCGGCCCGGGTCCATCCCTACTTACAACTACTCTTCTTGCCCTTCTTCTTCGACGCCGCCGTCTTCCGCCGCAGGCCTCCGTCCTCAGATTCATAGTTTTTTGCCGCTTCACACTCTTCTTCGTCCTCCATCTCGATCTTCGTCGGTTCCCGCCGGCAGACTGTAGTGAACTGTAAAGATCATTTAACTAAAAGAGTCTATTTTTTCAGTGGCATTTTTGTAATTTAAGCAAAAAATCACGGCTTCCGTTAAATGAGCATCGGTGTACATTTAGTGAGCATCTGACCTATTTTATTGAGTATTAAAAGCCAAACAACGAGTACCGTAATCTCTGCTTCATATCATCTAAGTCATTTTCTTTTTCTTATTTTTTCTTTTATAAAAACTTATTAAATTATATCTATAAATAATTCATATGAGTTTCAATATGTGAATTTAATGTAATATGTCACTTTTTAAATACGCATTAATATGACATTTTACATATGAGCATTAAATCAGTACCAAATGGGTACGTGTAACTTACAGAATGTGCATTGATATGAAAATCGTGTTAATTGAACATCACGACATTTTCATTGAGCATCAAACCTCATCTATTGAGATAAAATCATGGTTTCTGTTAAATGAGCATTGATGAACATTTACTGAGCATCAGACCAATTATGTTGAGTATTAGGAGTCTGAAATTGAATATCGTGATCTATGCTTCATATCTTATAATTCACTTTCAAAAATTGCGGCTTCCACTAAATGAGCATTAGTCTACGTTTAGTGAGCATCTGACATATTCTATTGAGTATTAAAAGCTAAACAATGAGTATCGCGATCTCTGCTTCATATCATCTAAGTCACTTTCTTTTTCTTACTTTTTCTTTTATAAAAACATATTAAATTGTATCTATAAATAACTCCTATGAGTTTCAATATGTGAATTTAATGTAATAGGTCACTTTTTAAATACGCATTGATATGACATTTTACATATGGGCATAAAATCAGTACCAAATGAGCACGTGTAACCTACACAATGTGCATTGATATGAAAATCATGTTAATTGAACATCACAATATTTTCATTGAGCATCAAACCTCCTCTATTGAGATGAAAATCATGGTTTCTGTTAAATGAGCATTAATGAACTTTTAATGAGCATTACAACACTTTCGATGAGCATCAGGCTTATTTGGTCGAGTATTAAGAACCTTACAATGTGAATCTAACGTCATATGCAACTTTTAAAATTTGCATGAATATGACATTTTAACAATAAGCATAATATGAGTGCAAATTGAACAAATGTAACTTACAAAATGAGTATTAATATGAAAATCATAATTTCTTAAGTTGAACTTCAAAACATTTCTATTGAGCATCAAACCTTGTCTATTGAGTATTGAAAACATTCAATTAAGTATCATGGTTTGTGCTCCTATATCTATAATCAAATCCTACATGAATCTAGTCTAATTAATATTGTACTTTTGAAATATGCATTGATATAACATTTTAAAATGAGTATAACACCAGTATAAAATGAGCATACATTACTTTTCAAATGAGCAATGATATGAAAATCATAAACTTTGTTAGCTGAGCATCAAAACATTTTCATTAAACTTCAAACCTTCTCTGTTCAGTATCAGAAACATACAATTGTATATCATGATCTCTGCTCTCGTGTATATAATCTAACTCTTATGTGATATAATATGATACTTTTGAAATATGAAATAATATGACATTTTAAACTTCACTTCTTCTTTTCCAACTTTTAATTAACACCAGCACAGTTCAGTATTTGCATTTTACAAGGAAAAACACATAATTCATTTTGAAAAACCTTTGTAAAATCATCACACCATTACTAACAACCGATCCAAACGTTTGTTCTGCACTTAACACGTTTATGTATATAAATTAAAATACACACACATACATACATCGAACTAATTAGTTATTGATCTGACATTAACAAAAGTCCAATTTTAATGAGTATTAAGCGTCTAATAATGAGCATCGTGTTATTACAAGAAATATGATATCACAACTAAAAAACGGTGGCATTTTAGTAATTTAAACGAAACTCATGATTCTTGCTAAATGAGAAGTACTGCACTTTTAGTGAGCATTAGGCTTATTTTGTTGAGTATTAGCAGCCTAACAATGAGCATCTTAATTGATACTTGCTCCGTACTATCTATTTTTTAATTCACTTTTTTTCCTTTTATTTCTTCTTTTATAAAAACCTACGGAGTATTATACTATATCTATAGAACCTAATGTAATACGGAATATGCAAATCTAATGTAATATGGTACTTTTAAAATATGCATTGATATAAAATTTCAAAAATGAGCGTAACATCAATATCAAATGAGCATACGTAATTTACAAAATGAGTATTACAACAATATCAAATGAGCATACATACTTATGAAATGAGCATCGAAAAATTCATAAGGCTCATTTAAAATCTCTAGTATGCTCGAATATTAAATGAGAATATATAACCTATGAAATGGGCACCAGGAAATATAAATTGAGCATTACACCAATAACAAATGAGCATTACACCAATATCAAATAAACATTACACCAATACGAAATGAATACTGAAAAATTTAAAAAGCTCATTTAAAATTTTTAGTATGCTCAAATATCAATTTGTGTATGTTCATCTCAAGATAACATAAAGAAGCATCAATTCCTTATTTCAGACCAACCAATTTTATTGTGCTTATTTTCAAATGATGTTAGAGGAGCGCAGACAAAAGGCATATATAAAAACAAAAAAAAAACTTAATTAGAAAAAGAAAAGTTAAAGTTAGAAAAATTGAAGTTCAAAATTATAGGAAAAGAAAAGTTTGTATTTATTCAAGTGCAATATAGAACACAGTCAATCAAGAAATGAAAGAAAATTCATTTGGGTATTTTTTCGAACAGTTTGTAGGCATTCTTATTTA